AGTCTCCCCAGGTGACCCAGTGTCTCAGCTTCATCACCTCTTCATTTCATGACCACCCAGATGGCCTCACCCCTACCACCAACAGTCAATGCCCTACTCACCTCTAAATCTTTTTTTAAGTTTTGATTATTAAAATTGAGGCCATGGGAATTCGCTGGCGGTCCAGTGGTTAGGACTCGGTGCTTTCACTGCTGGAGCCCAGGTTCAATCCCTGGCCGGGGAACTAAGGTCCGCAAGCAGCGAGGCGCTGTCAAAAAATGAATTAAATAAATAAATTAAATAAAATTGAGGCCTAACATCAGGGAGAAAGCACCATCAAGTGTGTAATCTTATGCATATGGAGCAAGGCATTTTCATACACCCCACCTCCCCCCACCCCACCCCCACCATGGGCTCCTTTGTATATTTCTAGGTCAATAGCCATCACTGCTGTTAATATGTCTCACTTGGGACTTCCCTGGTGGCACGGTGGTTAAGAATCCGCCTGCCAATGCAGGGCACACTGGTTCAAGTCCTGGTCTGGGAAGATCCCACATGTTGTGGAGCAACTAAGCCCTTGCGCCACAACTACTGAGCCTGTACTCTAGAGCCTGTGAGTCACAACTACTGAGCCCACGTGCCACAACTACCAAAGCCCGCGCTCCTAGAGCCCGTGCTCCGCACTGCAATGAGAAGCCCGTGCATTGCAGCAGAGTAGCCCCCATAGCCCCTGCTCGCTGCAACTAGAGAAAGCCCGCGCACAGCAACGAAGACTCGACACAGCCATAAATAAATAAATAACTGTCAGAGAGAACAGAAAGAAAAAAAAAACTTAAAAAAAATATATCTCACTTATGTTATTGAAATAATACAGTGTATTTATTTGTGTGTGTGTGTTCGGCTTTCTTTTGCTTAACATAAGCTCTGTAAGATTCATCCACCTTGTGTGTGTCAGTAGTTTACTCTTTTTTCTGGCTGTGTATTATCACACTGTATGGAGAAACCACGATTTATTTAACCATTCTACTGCTGATGGGCATCTGGGTTGTTTCTGGATTTTTGTCACCTTGAGTAAATCTTCTGTAAACCTTCCTACCTGAGTCTTTGAGTGGACGTGGGTTTTCATTTCTCTTTGGTGCATACCCAGGAGTAGGATTACTGGGTCATAGGCCAAGCCCATTGAATTAAGAATTCGTTGTCACTCTGAGGTCCTTTCACTGGCACATGGTCTAGCCGCCTTCGTTCTTTGCTTGCATCTGCATTATCTCATTTTGTCCTCGCCAGATCCCAGTGATGCTGGCAGAGCAAACATTGTCACCACCCTGATGTGGAATTGCTACTATTTACTCACTGCCAATGGGGCTCAAGGTCCAAGTTCAGAAGTGCGGAACTCTGCGATTATAAAATTGTTTCCTATGGGAAATAGAAACTGAGCTCCAAAAAATCTCACACACTTTTGGACCAGAACCTGCTGGGAGCTGCCAGCAAGAAATGAGGCTGGCAAGGGTGAGTGGGACTCAGCTGTGCTCTTCACAGGCCCAGAAGGCTTTACAAGTTTTGTATTACAATTGTTTCTCTATTTTAGGTTGGACAATGGCATTGCCATTCTGTTTTTTTCTTTAAAAGGAACTTTATCTTTTTTTAGCGATTCCTACTCAAGAACTTGTGGACAAAACGACAAGATTTCTGGGTTTGCTTTAAAGAAATCAGAAAAAAAGAGGGACTAGTTCAATATCCGAGTAATAATAAAAACATTACACGCATTTTTTTTAAAAAAGTGTTCCTTATGGCCACAATAGGCGGCTGCTACCGTGTGTTCCAATCAAATCCGGGAAGAATTTCAAAAAAACAGAGCTTAAGAAAGATTACTTTCTGAGGCAGACTCTGGGATATTTTTGGCCCCAGGGGAACTCAGGATCCAACCGGGCCGGAGCTCCCCAGGGACCTAGTTCCTCAGTTCTTTATTAATAGCCACCCCAGGGAGCTGCAGTCCCCAGGAACACAGCTCAAGAAGGGAATGAGGCCTCCACCTCTCGGCTGGAGTCGCCAGCAGGCGTGGGCTCATTATCTTCCCCGGAGAGAGTCCGGCCTCTGGAGCACAGGTGAAAGCGGAGGCGACCACGGTCCCTGCCCCTGCCCCTCCCAGCCTGCAGGTGACACTGAGGCAGCGCGCAGGGAGGGGTGCACCGTCAAGGCCGCAGAGCCCTGGGAACAGACGGACGCCGGGCCAATCCCTGCGGGGTGCACGACGGGGCAAGGAGGGAAGGAGAAAGTGACCTTGGGGCAGGGACCTGCAGACAGCTGGGGTTCCAGGAAGAGGAGGGAAGGGCATATGGGGTACAGCGACAGTCCAACTTGGGAGGCACAACCCAGGAAGGTCCACAGGCTTGTAGAGGTGCGCAGGTGATGCTGGAGGAGCCAGGGTAGGTGCGGTGCAGCCGAGCCTCGGGCAAGTGTGCTTTGGCCCAGATCACCTGCCCTCTTGGGCCACGAGATCTTTGGGGTTCGGGGCTTGAGATCGCTCGCGGGCCAGACAGGAGCCAGCAGGGGAACGAAATCTCCAACTTCTAACTTCAAAGAAATGCGAATTAAAATAAGGAGAGATACCGCCCTCCCTTTAGGATTGACAGCCAGCGGTGGTGATCTCCTGGAGACCAGCCCGCACTCCCACAACCGGGGAGGCAGGGGCGGGGCGTAGTGGATGCTTTTCCAGAGGGCAGCTCGGCAAGTGGCACCAAAATGTCACCAAGGTGTCTCACGTGCCTTTGACCTGGCTGCTTCACTTCTAGCGATCTGCCGAGAGATACAGGCACTCAAAGATGCACATTGACGGCCCACACAGCTTCATTTATGCCTGTTGCGGTGAAAAGGGGGTGCCTAAGTGTCCATGGGGCGAGTTACACACTGTGAAAGCCTCGGTCATCTCTGTGCCTCGACAGGGGATCCCGTCCACGACATAAGCCAAGTGAAATCAAAGGAGTGTTACAAACAGCACTTATCCTATGACTTCATTCAAAACAGCCTGGAGAGTGTGCGCCGACAGTGCACTGGGGGCGGAGGGGGGTGCGGAACTAGACAGGACTTTCATTTTCTCATCTAAACTCATCTGGAAAGACAGAGGCCAGCAGGGAGTTTTCACCGCCCAGAGGAGCGGCTGACGTTTAGGAAAGCCCGGTCTTTGTTCACAGAACTGGTTATTTTATGGAGCACCTGCTGTATGCGGGACCACCCGCTGGGGCCTGGGAAGCATTTTCGGCAGAGATAGGGAAGGGGCTGCTCACGCCGCGGGAAGCGCGGACATCCACCCCGCGAAGGAGCTGCAGGTGGCAGCTGCCCTCGGCCTGGACCTAGACCCTGAGATCGGCCAGTGCCAGCTCAGTGACCGGTGCAAGGCACATCAGTCACTCTGTCCCCACCTCCAGCCATTTCTTGCCTGGCACCTACTATGATTTAGGCGCCTGAATAGTTTACTAAATCTTTCCAAAGCCCAGCAAGGGAGCAATTTTTATCCCAGTTATATGAAGAGGGGGCTCAGAAAGGTCACTGGAATAGGCATTACCGTGTCGGTGTCGTGAGCCACGCTGCCTCAAGATCCCATCAGCTGTCACTCCTGGGATAAGGTCCAATTTGGAGTGTGGGCTCTGAAATCAGAACCGGGCCCAATGTCGAATCCATCTTCTTGGTGTGATTGTGGGAAGGTTAGTGATCCCTTCTCTGACCCGGGCTAGGATCAGCTATTTATAGGGGTGCCACGAGGATTATATGGGGCAATGCCTATAAAGGGCGAGCATGACCTAAGCGCTTTTACGGGCATGGCCCTAATGAGTTGGCCCATTTTTCAGATGAGGAAACTGAGGCTCGCAGGGGGCGAAATCTCGTCCTAGGCCTCAAGCTGGCAGAGGCGGACGTGGCCTGCACCCCTGCGAGCCTCTGTTTCCTCGCCCGACCCGCTCCCCAGGGCGCCCCGCCCCTGCTGATGCCCCGCCCCGTTCGTCCAGGTCCCGCCCTTGGCCCGCCGACCGCCGGGAGTCGCCGCACAGCCCCTAGCGCCTCAGCCAATCGGCCGCGGGCGGCGTCGGGTGCCTTCTGCCTCGCCCGCAGTCCTCCCGCCCGGCGCTCGCTCGCTGCCTCGCTTACTCAGCCGCCGCTGCTGCTGTGGCTGTCGCCGTGCCTCTGTCCACCGACTCGGTAAGGTCGGGCTGAGGCCGCGCGCCGCGGGGCGGGGTGGGGGGCTGGCGGGAGCCGGGGGCTAGCTGCGGCGGGGCCCAGGGCCAAGGGCGGACGGGGACTGCAAGGGCCCGGACCGAGGCGGGGGGCGGGGGGGCCGCCGCCTGTGTCGGGGCGCCGAGGGACAGCGGTTCTTAGAGAGCTCGAAACCGGAGCGGGGCGGGACTCCCCATACCCCGCAGTGGATTGGGTCTAGGGGTCCGCGTCAGTGTCGGTCCGCATGCGGGCAGGTCCGGTGTGGCTGCGGGAGGGATGCTCAACCCTTCGGACTTAGCAGGACGCCTCCGGGCTGGGGCCAGTAGGGCCACCGTCTCTC